CTCAACAATAGAAGCATGGTGGGAAACGCAGTTGCTCTTTCTCTAACCCTGCCCTCCATTGACACATATTTTTTTCCCTGAGCGTCCAATTCAGATTTTGAAAAGATTTGAAATCACAGGAAAGTTGTTATGAGAAATCTTTCCTACTTATGGATTAGGAAACCAAGAGCATCAGCATTTTAAACACCATCCTCATCTCATAACATGCTTTGATGTCTAGATGACATTTGAGAGGAAATGTAGCCTTGCCATTGCCTTCCTGTGCAATTCCACTTGATTTTAATCTCGCTTCAGTGCTTCGTCTGGGCTTTTTCCCTTTGACTTGGATTCCTGCGGTAGAACTTCAACAGGTTCAATCACTGAACAGAAGGAGAAGTTGTGAATGATGACATCAATTTTTTTGTTTGAGAGTTGTAGTCTGCCTATAATGGCAGCAGAGAAAGTGAAAAAAAAAAAAACCTCAATACAGTTCATTGCTCCAGGAAGTCAAGTTTATTTTAATAGCACAATTGAACAAGGTAGTAAAAACCCATCACAATCCCTAATTGTGAAATAAGCAATAAACAACACATTTGGTCAAGTGCCACCATCAGAATTATCACATCACACCACAAAAACAGTCACCAATTTAAGAAGCAATGGTTTCTCTGAGAGTTCAGAAACTCTGCAAAGCGCAGAACAAAAGGCTGGTTTTTACCAGACTAGAGAAAATCCACACTACTTAAAAACAGCACATAAAAATCACAAAAACATTTTGATTGTCATTGGCACATTAAATAAGTCAGTGATGTAAACCTATACACAACCATGAGAATGTTTTTCAAACATATTGTACTTTTATACAAATGCAAAATACATGGAAACAAAACAATAAATATCCACCTATCCATTTTCTTCTGCTTTTCTAGGGCATGTATGGCAAGCCGATTTAGCATAAAATCGGATAAAATTTTTTTGATTAAGTTTTTATTTCCAGAGAAAAGGTATTCGGTGTATTTATAGATACAAAAAGAAAATGTCATCAAGTGAAAAATACAAACGATCACAAATCAGACAAGTAATAGCAGAAATTCAAACATAATTTCTGTTCAGACAGAAACAGAAAAGGAACATAAATTATGTTCTGTTTGAACCCCCAGGGAGCTTAAATGCAATTTCTATATGTAGATATCTAAAAAATTAATATCGATATCACAAATTGTAATCACAAATGTGTGATCCTTCAACAGACAAATCTGGTGATACAATTTGAAAAGAATTTGGGAAGAAATTTTGAACCATCTAAATGTAATTGATAATGTCTTGAATTCTTCTTCTTGTCACAATGCAAATGATCTTAAATTCTCAATCAGAATAGTCAAAACAAATTTTTAGATAGTTAGAACGGAATTACAGATAAACGAAACCATTTTTATATCACAACAGCTTGCCATAGAATGCACGGAAGTTCCACGCGAGCGCACAGACGCTCCTTCACATCACAACTTGTTTGTCATAACGCGTCATAAAGAGGAGTGTCGGAGGAAGGTTCAAAGAAGTGAATTAATTCTGTACTGAAACAAGCTGGGAGAGATGGGATTTATTGATCCAGAAAAGTGGTTAGTATTTGAATTTTTTTCATTCATTTGCCCCTCTGAGTTCATTCTCAGTTCCCGAAAGTATGGGAAGCAAGTGTTGTAAGAAGATGGGCAAATGTCCCTGGTCGAGTCAAAAGGAGATTCTTAAAGGTCCCTACGGTTCATACCGCGTTCTTAGGGTAATTGGCCGGGGCGTTTATGGGAAAGTTGTTAAGTGCAAGAATCTAACCACAAAAGAGACAGTGGCAATTAAGATGATAAGAAAGGACCTCAAACATGCTGGCAGAAGTGAAATTTTAAATATGCTTTCGCTCAGAAGCCTCGACTCAAACAGATGCAACTTGATCAAGATGACAGATCATTTTGTGCACAAGGAACATCAGTGTCTGGCCTTTGAAATGCTGGATAAAGATCTTTTTGAATTTATGAAAGGCAGATTTTTTAAACCATTGTCTGTGTCAGCAGTCCGACTCATAGCACAACAAATGCTTGTGGCCCTACAAGCGCTGAAAAGCATTGCCATGGTTCACACTGACATCAAACCAGACAACATAATGTTTGTCAACCATAAATCAATTCCCTTCAAGTTGAAGCTCATTGATTTCGGGATGGCTAAACATGTATCAGAATTACGGACTGGAACTTGGGTTCAGCCCGACTGCTACAGGGCCTTTGAGGTTTTGTTGGGCTTGCCACTGTCTGTGAGTATGGACATGTGGAGTCTCGGTTGCACTCTGGCCTTCTGTTACCTGGGGAGGCTCCTGTTTCCTTCATATTCTCAATATGAAAACATGAAGACTTTTGTAGAGCTGTGGGGAAAGCCAGATAATTCTTTGCTGAATCAAGGTTTGTTTACCTCAAACTTTTTCAACTTGGTCCAGAGAAGCCCTAAAACAATCTGGGAGTTCAAAAATTCAACAGAATATGTAAAGACATCAAAGGATGTGGTAAAAGAAGGAAGAAGCTCATCCAATTTTATACAAAGCTTTTACGACTTGGACACAGTTCAAACTTGTAAAGACATAAATGAATGGAAAGACATCAAAGCCTTTATAAGGCTCCTCAAGCGAATGATAGTTTTAGATCCAGACAAGCGAATCAGCCCCTCTGAAGCTCTCAGACTGAATTTCATAACTATGAATCATCTTGTGGGATGCTCAGGCAAATATCTGACGAAAGCACAAAAAATGATGAGAAAGTGTCAGCTCCAGCCGATCCCAGAAGAGCTCAGATGAAACACCATCGTAGTCGGTTTTAACTCACCCCAAAGAAAAGCCAGGGCCCTCCAGAAGTATCACAACATTCCCCTCGTCTGGTTAAGACGCTAAAGCCGCTTGGAGCTAATAGGAACAACTCACCAATTACAGCTGCTCAAACTGCACTGCTGCGCAATAAGCCAGCAGAATCCTGGAGAGCAAGACCTTAATAAAACTGTCTCTAGCAACGCTTCAAAAATCAATATAATTATAATTATTATTTACTATTAGTAATCATAATAATAAAAATAAAATCATCAGGTATTTTTGGCGTAGTTTCTTGTGCAAATTTCTCAGTACACTTGAAATAAGAAAAAAACTTCCTTACAAATAACTTTTCAACAATAAGAGCTTGTCTTTAGTCAATCATTTCTGATGAAAAGTACTAGTTGCAATGGCAGATTATTTTTCATATGACATGGGAAAAATGTCTTGTGAAAATAATCTGCCAACAGAACTGCTTCTTTTTTTTAATCAATATTAAGAAATTATTTACTTAATACAAGCTCACATTTCTTGCTGAAAAATTACTTGTAAGTTGGTTTTGTCTTATTACAAAGTGAAAAAAACAAATGGAAAGAATAAAAAAATTGAAAAAACATAATTTCCATTGTAGAGAAAACAATTGATGAATTTAAAAGATATAATTTCTCTGCTAATAGTTTTTCCTAACATCATTACTTGATCCTGTTAGATTTTATACTGCATTCATGGTCTTTCTTAATCAAATTCTTCCCTTTTATTCTTGCCTGGCATCATTTCACATCCTGATGTTCTGCTTCTGAGTTCCTCATTGTCCTCTGGCACTGAGGAAACAATATCCAACCCTGGTAATAGAGGTTAGATTAATTGCTGACAAATCTGTATTCAGCAGTTCCCTTTCTCTTGGCTGGATAGATTTATGACACAGATTGATGGGGAGGAGGGATGAATTCAGAGCCACCTCTGTTCTGCTTGAAAAAAGAAAAGCAGTTCAGTGTTCAGTGAGGCAAAGGAAAATAAAGGGAATACTGAGTAAAACTAGAGGCCTGGAAGGTTGATTTAACAACCTAGGTCATGGAAATGCATATATATATATAAGTTCCAAAAAAAATCTATATAAAAATGTAAAGGCTATTAGAATTTTCTTTTCAATAAAGAAAGTTGTTTTGCACAACCAGGTCAGAGTAACATCAGTGAATGTTTCCTAAAATGTTGTCTACTGATTTGCCTTTGTCTATCAAAAGCTTTAAAAAGCCTTAGTATGTTTGGCCTTTCCCTCCTTTGACTTCATGTTACAGAATAAATAAAATGTTTTATTAAGTGAGAGAATTATAACTGCGTTTGAATCGCATGGCCTCTTGAGTCATACACACATCACAGCTCCATGCGTTAGGGCAGAGTAAGTTTGACCTTAAAGCCCTACCTACAGGCCATTCTTTGGCCGCTGCCTCCAGATGTTCAGGTTGTTTTCTAACTTCTGGAGAAATAACTGAGTGAAGTAGTTCAACACAAGCAGATCAGGACAATCTGATGGACATGAAGGTTGGAGTAAGGTAAGGAAAATAATGCACCACCAGGTGAGGATGGTCTGATGAGTATTTTATTTCAGTTTGAGGAACTTGAATATATAAATGGGGAAAATGTTTAATTTAAAGAAAACCATGGTACTGCTGCCACCTAGTGGAGAAGTTCTTTTATTATACTAACACGCGAAGAGCCAAACATGTCGCAGAAACTCTCCATGCCATACATTTTAAAATCATTTATATCTGATTATATGTTTTAAGTCCAACTTACGATTAGAAAACAACCAAAACTTCCAGTACTAACTATACAAAAAGAAATGAATAAATGGCTTAGAAAACAAAAAATAAATGTCCAAACAAACTCATAAATTCACCAAGGTGAAAATAAAAAAAAGGAACTTCATTAGGCAATCATTATAAAACATATTATTTTAACTGTACTTATTTTTTCCTTGCATTATTTAACTTGATTTAATTTCTGTTCTACAATTTTTTAGAGTTAAATAACTGTTTTTATTTTATTTTTCCTTCTTTTTTGTGGTGTTCATAAATGTGTTTTCTTAATTTCCCTGGGTTGTGGTGGGACGGGGTTGAAATAATAATGACAGTCATTTATTTCATTTATTACAGTAACGTCACAAATACTCATACTCAGATACTCATATTGCAGTTGCAGTTTATTTTCCATTTTGCTGCAATTAAAAATTAAATTACAGATACATACAAAAACATTGTTATTCCAACAGAGGACATCGCTCTCATTGTGGCTCAAATCCGAGTGCAGAACAGGTGCTTCTCTTTCCCTGCATCTCCTCACTTCTCATTGCTCTGTCGTCACCTTGTCCTCCTGCTCAGCACGTCTGTTCTCCAAAAGGTCACAGCCCTGCATTGTGCAGGGACTTTTTTTCCCTTCTGCTCAAAAACTATAGTGGTTACAGGATTGTGAATGAAGGCTTGCTAACAATAATCTGAAATGTGACTAAGGAGAAACATTTTCTGGAAGCAGGTACTTCATTACTGACTGAAGGTTGTGCCTTTGCTTGGATGTAAACACAACAGAGAACATCCATTACAGCCACAGATGCACTCAAAATAGATTTAAACTCACATCTATCTAAATGTGTTATCTCCCTTGGTCACATGTCCTGTGCAGTCATGGTGCGTAGAAAGTAAACCACCTTTAAATGGATTAGTGTGTTTTTAGACCCAGATCAAAATAACGAAGTCTTACAAACTATTTTATATTAACCTTCCACAGCAGTTTATTTAGTTTTGATCAAAAACAAATAGCCGTCGCTTCCTTCTCGTTTAGCAAACCGGCGTTTCCATGACAAAGAGGTGCAACAAGGGCCAAGAACAACTGATTGTGCCGAGTTTGTGCTGCTGGCTGTGGGTTTAGAGCCACTGAGCTCAAACAGAGTGAGATCATTTTATTATTTTAATAGTTGCAGGACAGAAAAGTGAGAAATCAACACCTGTCTTTGTGTAAAGATTATGGTGTGACATTGTTTGACGAACTCAAGACAAAATGTTTTTTTTTTTTTTTTTAAGTTTGCCCAATTAGTTGTAGCTCTTTTATGATTATGCACTTGTTTTGTGCTTTTTCCTACTTTCTTTGTAAATAAATTCAGGCAATAAGAATAAAATGCTTACCCCAGTCAGAGACAAAAAACATTAAATCAGTTTTTAATTATGACTTGGTCACACAGCTTCCTAGCGATGAACATTTTTGTTTGCGTGTGTGTAACTGGTTATTCGACATTTATTTCTCCAACTTCAGCAGAGGTCAAGTCTGCTTGGCTCAGGATTTCTCCGGGTTTTTAAGACTTACTTCAATTCTCACAGTTTCTTCCATTTCTGTGTTATCTTTGTCTAATGAAGAGTGATGTGGAGGAACCTTTATGGTGTGTTAACTTACATTTGGATTAAAGGTCGGCTCATTTACACCCAAAAGCCCTAGAACTGACAGAGGGTGTACTTTCTTTCCACCATGACTGCATGTATAGTTAACAAATAATATTCTAAAGGAAGTTTACTGTTTATTCATCTTACATCCACATAATAATGAAATAGGAGTCAAGTTTAAGACACATTGAAATTGCATTTTTCCTCATAATTCTACTATTGAAGCACATTTACATCCTTTTAAACTCAAAATGTTTAACACCATTGCACATCTCATGGTTTCAGCTTGGGTAACAGCTCTATGGTTTTGTACATATATTTACACTTTGATGTTTCATTCATGCTTTTGATTAAGTTAGTTTTGGGTCATTGCTTGATAACCTTTCACATTCAGAAGTCTGACAGACTCAAAGCAGAGTTACATGAAAGCGTTGTACAAAATGCTCATTAGTGCCTTTTTGGACGAGGTATTTTAATTAATTACTTGTGCACTTTGCTTTTAAGAAAAATTAAGAATCCAAGGCGTGGCTGTAAAATACGGGATAATATTAATTCAATTATATTTTGCACATTTATCAGCAGACATACACTATATTTTAGAGATTTTATGGAATAGTTTTAATATTAATACAGCAGTTCTTTGATGAGGTACCCCTTTATCTTTATATTATCCACTTTAATTTATTCTTAAGTGCAAACCTTGTGTTTTTTGTCTAGGTAATCTGGATTGCTTTAAGTCTCTCTGCAATGCCTTGCGAAAGTATTCATAGCCTCACATTTTATCACTCAACAGTTACAAACTGTAGTGTGTGTGTCACCTAATATGTGAGTTTGTGTTTTGCAAGACACTGTAGATAAAAGCAAAGCCTACATTTTTCTCAGCTGTTATCTTTGATCTCCAGCAGACAGATACGTGCTTTCCTCAGCATCTCTCCTCTTCCTTGTTACAGAATATACATAAAATATAGAGAATAACATATCATTTCACATCTAAAAATAAAAAGCTGTATTTTTTTGTAAAATAATTTTCTCAGAGTATCATAAGAGAATAAATATATTGTCTTTATCTACAGAAAGTGCACATAAATAAATATTACTGTAGATTATAGTCTCCACCAATAATCTATCTGCTTCTCTGTGCCAATAATATAGACTAAATTGGGGGAACATCGCTTAAATAAAGTTAATTAATAAATTCAGAATATAAATGAACTAATAATAAAACAACAGATGGACAGTTAGGTCAAATTGTATTATCTAGATTTTAAATGTTTCAGGAAATCCTGAAACAAATGCAACAGAAGCAGAAAGGCCTCTTTTATCTCTGTGCAGCTGGTGTTTCGTTTTTCAACCCAAAAACTTTTCTTTTTGTATCTAACTTCTTACAGGAAAAAAGAAGAGAAGACGGGAAAACCAAGACAGAGCTCATAAAAAATGTACTTGATAAATCAAACACTGAGTTTTGGCCATTTGAGGTCAAAATTAAGACTAAATTATTGCTCAAAATATCCTAAAGCGCGTTTTTTTAAAAAAGAAATCACACACCTTTAAAAACAACAGAGACTCCATCTAAAGTGCCTTTCAGATGCATTCATAATCTTGTCTGAGTTCAAATGAAAATAAAATAAAATACATGACAAGACATTGTTCAGAACTTCCTCCAACCTTCATAGTCACTATTAAAAAGGCAACAAAAGGGAAAAGATGAAATTTAAAAATAAGCTGAACTGGTAGCCATGAAGTGGCTTTTTAACTTTGGCACCTTTCAGTTTCAACATTTAAAAACATTTTAAAATCTATAAATTAAATGACAACAATAAAGAAGAAAAGGACAGTCATCATGGCAGATTGAATGATCTGGCCTTGACTTGTTTTGACTGAAAACAAAGAGCAAAGTTTGTTTTAGTAGCGTATTTCTACAAAGGAAGTTGGGTTGAGTTATTATTGTGATTTGTTGAATGAGTTCCCAAATTTGAGAAGACTGTTTCCAGTGTGGTCACGTAGTGAATAAATGCCCTTTGAGCTTTGAGCAGATCAATTTCAAGGTCAACCAGAGGTCATCCAGTTATTTTTCTGGGGCTTGAATGTGTTTCTGGTTAAGCTGCGTTTTTGTGAGCGATCCCAAGTTGTTGACGTCGATAACCAATCTTCCTCACACCAATGTTTGTTAGGGAGATCCACAGGGCTCCGATCTTTCAATATTATGTTTTTGCTTTTATATTCTAATATTTATATAAAATCTTTTTCATTAATTGAACGAAACTCTGCAAATATTAGCGTTTAATCAAGAAAAACACAATTTAGCTACACTGCACGACTTGATTCAATGAATGATTCAAGGTTTTCTGCTTTGTAGGTTTGAACTAAGCATTTACTGGTTTTACTTTCTGGTTGATTAATTAGGCATCAGGAACCAGTGTAGAGATATTTTCTTTAATTGACATTAAACATGTTACTTGAACCTTCTTATGTCACCTGCTTAAAATTGCAAACATTTACAGCAGCGCATCCTGGATTGATGTAGGAAAATAATCCTTATTATTTATTTTTATGTGTTTTTGTGTTTATTCTTATGTCTAAGTCAGGGTGTAAAACTAATTTTCATTTCGGATCACATCCAAATCATGAAAGTCCATTTGTGCAGAATGTACTAATAATGCCAACTATTAAAAAACTGTTAAGGTATTAAAGCTTCTTCTGCATTTGATTTGTACCTCTTAAAATTAAATCCTAGTTAATGTATTTTCGTATTGATGTAATTTGGCTCGACATGAGTAAAAACTCAAGGAGAAGTGGCAGAAAGAGCAGGAGTTTTTAGACAGAGGCCTAAATTAAATTTACAAAGTCAAATTTTGCTAACACTTCATTTGACAGGGTATTCATAAAAACTGTCATACCTTTTGCCATAAACATGAAGGAGTCTTTATGAAGGTTTATTACTGTTGTCATGATGTGTCATTCGGTAAATAATGACACTTTTAATGTAAAGTTGTTTTAAAGGTTGCATTAAAACTCCATTAGAAGTGTCAACTTTGCATGATTTTGTAAATAAGTGACACTTCAATGCAAAGTTTGTATTTTCAATGGACTTTCAATGCAACTTTTAAAGCAGCTATGCATCAAAGGTGTCATTATTTACTGACTGACACTTCATGACGACAGTTATAAACATTTATAAAGACTCCTTCATGTTCATAACAAGTGTTATGACATGCTTATGACAGTGTCATGTCAGTTTTATGCACACGCCGTCAAATGAATTGTTACCCAAATTGCTTTTCAGTCGTATCTGGTATACATCGTTTTTATAGCAAGTGAAGTCTTAATAGATTCTTGATTTTCTGTCAAATGTGCTTGGAAAATACATAGCACTGCCCCTTTAAAAGCTGTACTGAAAGTTTCCATTTTTTAAACGCTGATAGTATGGGGATAATTCAGGTAATACTGAAGCATATCTCTTCACTCTCTTACTTATTGTCTCAGAGCTACAAACCAGAAAGATAGATTGATCCATCAATCATCAATCACTCAGTCAATCAATCTCTAGATATAATTTTTTAGCTAATAATGTTTTACGGTCAGTTTTTTGGGGATTTTTGGCTCTTGTGTTGTGTGTTCTGGTGACATCACAAAAGGCACAAGGCCACTGACCCCAGTGTGTTTGTACTTTCCTCTTTTTTCTATTTTATTGAACCTTTCCCAGCAAAGTGATGGCTCATTTGGCTCTTCTGCCAGTCTTGTACCTCTTGTGATGTCATTAACCCAAGACAAAATTATCACTTTATTTCCAAAGGGTGTTTCATAAAACATTGCATCTTGCAGTTGAAATCTATAATTCAGCACCTTTTGTGTTTTTTATGGTCAATTTACATTTGTTGGTGAAAATAATACACTAATGTGTTTTATCTTCAGCTGTATGTATAATTTTGTGACTGCCTTGTATATCTTTTCTTCCCTGGCCTTGTCTCTTTATGTTTGTCTCACCATCATCCTCTCAGATATATCAGAAAAATGACATTATTAGGCTGAAATGCGCTGGATGGATGCAGTAACAGAATATTATGTTTTGTGTGAAAATATCAGCTTTGGGATGCTTTGTGTATACCAGTTAAATTTAGAGTATGGGACAAAGGATTGAATCTCTATCATAGCTACAAACCTCAGACACAAGTACACGTAAGTGTACAGCTCAGTTGACTTTCTCTGTATGTTTGAGGCTGATTTTTTTTCTTTCTGTAAGCTCTGAAGAGGCTGTTGTGGTTTGGTCAACCTGTGGCCTCCGGTGGTCCAGAACTACAGCAACTCAGCTGAATGTCTTCACTCATCAATGAACGTGATCCCTTCAATCCTGCAGGGGAGGCACAAAAACACAGAGTCAAAGCAGCACACAGGACAAGCTGGCCGACTGCAATGAAACAGAGAACAAACGACAAATCATCGAAAAAGCAGGAGATCACAGTGTGCAGCAAGATTATTTCCTCCAGGTAGGGATGAGGGATGAAGGAGGGTATGGCCTTGCCTTTTTAGCAGCCAAAGGACGAATGTCCTTTTGATTGGAGTTGAGGGATTTCCACACAGTGGTTTTAGACATTTCATCAGATATGTTAATATCAGAGGGATCACACCTGAGGAGCAGGAGGAGGAAAAAGGGTAAAATTGAGGAGAGGCATTAGAGGAATATACTGGATTCGCCGTGGGAACATGAAGACAGAGCCCCACACAGCAGATAATAAAAAACACAGGCATGCAAGAAGATGAATGGGAAAGTGACAAAACTCTATAATAATCCTATTAATCAAGTCCATATTCATTGTGGGTGTGTGTGTGGGTGTGTGTGTCTCACTTGGGATCATGTGCTTTTTGAACAATTTTGCTTCCCTCCATTGTAATCTGAACAGTAGCTGATTCATCTCTTTTCAAGCTCAGCATTTCTTGCGATTCCTGCACGATACAAACAGAGGCGCGGCCATACATAAGAAGAATTAACTTCAGATGCTTTAAGGTGAACAAGACATTAGAAGATTGTTTTTCCCCAGTTAGATTACCTCTTCCAATTTTTTGGAAGCATCATCCAGGTTTTTCTTCTTCCACTCAGGCATCAGGTCATCGAGGTAGCTCAGCTCTCGTTTCGAGAAGCACAAGTCCAGCAGCTTCCGAATAAAAACCAGAGCCAGGACCTGCAGGAAAAGGAGTAAAACAGATCTTGACTGGAGAGAACGTGGAAGAACAAATTGTTTCTGTTCGGTGAAGATAATTACCATCATGGGGAAGATGATCGCAGCAGGAGAGGTCTTAATGACCCAGAGTAGCACCAGACAGGTGAGCTGAGTCACAGTGAACAGATGCACCTTTCGCAATGGGACGTGTCTCAGGTAGATGAAATCTGGCTGGTGCTTTGCTGGCATACCAAAAAGCTTTAGGCGGTCAAAGAACTGAGACGAAAACAGTCAAAACACAGGCAGAGAAGGTTAGAAGGAAAGATAGTCAGTAAGTGCAGGGGAAAAACTGCACAGAAAGATTAACACTGGTGAAATGTAGACTATATGAGAGATGTCAAGATTACACGCAGGTTATTTCCTTTTTAAAACAAATAAAAAAACACAAATTGCCATTCACTCTTCTTATTTTGTTTCATTATCACAAAAAATGTATCTTGTTGAAATTTAATAAGAGGAACATTTACAGGACTAATCAAGGCAAACAGAGCCAGCCTCCTAAAATCCCAATGCAAGCTGTGTGCTACTTGCATAAATGATAAAGAAATTCACAAGTCCCTCAGGCTTGGCATGAGGTTTATCAGTGGGAATCACAGTGTCTGTGACAGCTCACAGTGAGAAACAGACTGCATAATGTCAGTGGATAATGTCCAAGGGAAGAAAAACCTTCCTCTATCTGAAGATAGTCATCTGACATTAAGAGATGGAACAGAGACTGTTTAAGCACAGACCATAAATATTCATAATGAAAACAGTAATATGATTCAAAACCAGTTTGGATCTGTTTACTGTATTATTATTGTATTATTTGCAAATTCGTTTGTACCCAAATATCATTAATCTGACTCTGATTTTATTCTTTAAGTGCCTTTGAATCAAATGTTCAAGAGAACTCCCAACCTAAATTTGACTGAAAATGTGCAAACAATGCTAAAAAATAAAATCAAACCCATTCAAACTATTGTAATGCATCATAAAAAGCCCTTCGCTGAAATGGAGCTAATGATTGTGCTTGAACTTTTCACTTGCCGTCGTTCTTGAGAAAGCAACAAAATAATCTGGAGTTAGTGTCTTACTAATGAATTTTCTCAGCCTCCCTGACTTAAAAGGCAAAACATATTAATGTGATGGCAGGACGCAGCAGAAAAGTCAAATTAGTTGATCTGGGCAGAAAAACAGCTGAACACACTTTTAGATATGACATTCGTATAGGAAAGTTAAGATAGAAATCTTTCAGTTACTTTTTGTAAGTGTCATGAAAAAAATGTGGGAAATTATTTAACGTTGTAATTTTATGACTTTGAAGAGTAAAAACAAAGCTCTTCTTAATGTTATACTCATAAAGAAAGATAGTTTTACCTGAATGCCTTTTAATGAAGATGCTCCCATGTAAAGAAAAACTCCATACAATACAGGCATAGGAATAAACTGAAATAGAAAAAAACGTTAAAGTTTACACTGTATTAGACCAGTGACTTTATTAGTGCAGTGAGAAATTAATTAAATATTTTCAGAACATAAATTGTTGATATAATAAATAACTTTGGCACATTACAGACAAGTTTTCTAGTCAATCACAGTCAAGTCAAGTGTTGCCACTTTTCCATCCTTTAATTTCTTTACTCATATAACCTGAATTGTGATTGTGACCCACCTGCAGGGCTCCAGTCATGAACACGGAGCATCCCATGAGCAGGAAGATCATCAGGCCTGTGAGCCGCTGCTCTCTGATGCCCAGGAAGCGCGGCTGCTCTCCCGGAGCTGCGCTCTCCGACTCCAGTTTCAGGCTGTTGACATGAGAGATGGACAGCACAGTGGCTGCCACGAACCAAGGCAATCCCATGATGGAGCACACAGCCAGCATCACCCCCACCATCAGCAGGTCGAGATGGTACCCACAGCCTTTCTGTGAAACAAAGAGCGGGTCAGATATGGGTTCAGAATCCAAGCCTGAAGCAGTATTTTTATTTTCTTTAATTTTTTTTCTTGCCAGTAGTTTGTGCTCCTTGCGGTTGATGATGACAGCAGTTATCTGTTGGTCCATGAAGATGAGGATGGTGCAGAGAAGAGCGGGAATAGATGCGACCAGAACTGTCCACCAGGGGTTGCGCCCGATTGGATTGATCAACCAACCTCGATCATCTCTGGTAGGCTGCAGGAAAAGAGCAGAGGTGCGCACTTTGATATTTGTATTGCTATTTCCCTGCAACAAGTTGTCCTTATTTAGCCCACAAATATGTGTGGGAAACCGGGAAAAATGTTGGAAGTAAGGTAAATTTAGCTTACTTCCAACTTTTCTTTAGTTTAACAACTTTTCATCTGTACTTACATATGCAGATGTAAGGTGGAAAGCAAAGTTTGCTTTTTGCAAATATAATACATATATTTCTTGTATATCTCTCTGGGATTACCTGGAATTTGCTTGGCACCTTTAGCTTTTGGGATGGCACTCCAACGGCAAAGTCGAGCAGGACCATGACAACAATAGTAAGAAACACTGCAAAGTCACTGATCATAGACCGAACCTAGGAGCAACAGATTACTGCATTTAGACTTCTGTTGCTATTAATTCACCAAGGTTGAACGTAAACAATCTCAAACTAAAGTGTTCATATCCCTTGAATCGCAACACATTTTGTCAACCACAAACAAAATGTTTTGCAGAATTTCATGTGACAAACTACATAGTGTAAAATGAAAATAAAGCACAACTATTCATGGTTTTCTGCATTTTGTACAAATACAAATTGCAAAAACATTACATGTGTTTGTATTTGGCCCTCTTTTCTCTAATACTCCAAAATAAAATTCAGTAAAACCAAGTGCTTGATTTTCTACTCCAGTGTTGATTTGGTACAGTCACACCTACAGATCTATTGAGGTATATCTCTGCCGGATTTGAACATTGAGACAACAATATTTACAAATGGCAATAAATAGTCATTTTTAACCTCAGATTTTTCTTCCATTTATTTGCTTCTATTCAACTTTGACTGGTTAAAAAAAAGAAAACATTCCCACACCATGATACTGCCAACCATTATACATCAACAAGTTGGTGGGGTACCTTGGTGGGGAAATAACGACTCGTCTTAAATTGCTTGAGGAAGGCCGACATGAAGAATGTTGAAAAGAACAAGATGATGGACCAGAAGAGAACATCTGGGGTGAAGGGACCGTGGTGTCCACATGTGGTCCCAACAAAGTGTCCTTGCAGGCCAATACATTCCTGTGGGGACACAGAGAGACTTCAGCCCAGACTCAAGTAGAAATAATCATGGAGAACCTTTTATCTGAGCTGACTGGGTGAAAGAATATAAAAACAAAGTAATTAAACGTGGCTGAAAATAACAAAGACCTTTGTGTTGTCAAGATGAAATGCTAGAAATGTCAGCCTTACAGATGTCCTTCAGAGAGATTAACTGCTAAAGTGAAGGTGAGGCTTTGGTGAATGTTAACCAAAAAAAAAAAAAAAAAACATTCAAGGAAATATAAACAACAGAAGGATACAGCCTCAGGCTCTGAACAGTGAAATCCAGGAAGGAAAGATCTTTATGGAAGAAAACCAGACACCTTGTAGGTGAGCTACACATTGACTGAAAAGTTAATGACACGCTTTGGTGACGTGACAGTATCTTTGTCTAGGTATTTTTTAGAGGACGCACTAAGTTACTTATCTATCTTTCCTCATTTTCTCGTCTTTGGTCACAAATTGCTGTCGGCCATCAAAGCTAATATTTATAATTGCTTTTTGTTATTTTAAACCCAATGCACTGGATGGAGCTCAATAGTATTGAACTTGAGTTCAACAGAACAAAGCGTAGCTTATGTCTCTCTTTAAAAGTTTGAATGATACTTGGTCATTGCTTAGCAAGCAGCATATAATGATAATGAACAAAAACAAACAGGTTTAATGATGCTCAATTAATGCAAAATGATTTGAAGGTAAAGTTAGGCATCTGATAAAAATCTTTGAGGCTGTGAATTTGTAACATACTTTTCTCTTTAAATGTGAATTGTTTATTGAACACAAACATAAATAAAATAGTGGCGGGATTATGTATGTTTTTCTTTTATTTTGGACGATCAAAAGTGTGACATAAATAAACCACAGCATGCAGGGATGAATGAATGGAAAGCATATAGATGTAATGAAATGACCTTGACAGTCAGGTTTTCCCAGGGTACAGTCGAGGCTGTGATGTTTCTCTCGCTCCACATCTCTAAGGTTTTATTACTGGGATTATCAGGCTGTGAACACCTGCAGCTACACAGAGAGACAGATACAAAACAGAAAAATTAACATTTATTGGCTGACTAAACAAATATGTTTGGGTTCTATTTATTTTTCTCTTTGTTCCTACAAGGGTTTAGAAAAAAGCTTCAAATAAGTTACAAATACACAGAGGAATAAAATAAGAAGCCGGTTACTCACTATGCTAGTGTGAGTTTGTCCAGCTCGCTCTGTGCATTGAAGGGGTACAGTTCCCCCAAGTGAAACAGTTTCTCCAAGGCCTCATAGATGAAGATGAGGCAGATGAGGGCAGCGAATGCCTCCTCAGTGAACCGAGTGATGTAGCAAACCAGAGAGCTCGCATCTGTGGCCACTAACATAAAGCACAGCAGTGCCGTCCACAGGCCAATGCAAGCCCGGAGAGACAAATATGACAGATCGTAGTCCCTGAGAAACCGAAGAGAGACAGGGTTCAGCGGAGGTCGAGGAAGGCCGATTAGTCAGCAAAGGAGTTGTTTAATTTCTGAACGTACTTGCAGAATTTGAAGAGTATCTTCTCAAAAACCAGTACAGGACCTGTGCTGCCCAGAATGGTGAGAGGCTGCCCAGCGAACAGAGAGTAGGCAACTCCAGTCATCGACGCACCAAACAACGACTCTATGGCGCTCTGAAACAGGTGGTGGTATTGCAGTGTGTTTGATTCGTCTTCATTCATACATAATAAGAACAAACAGCACCGTATAATGATGCAAATATGGCTTTACTCTTACAATACGTCCTTCAGTCGCTTCCCCCAGCAGTCCTCCAAAAGTGATGACAGGAGACATGCAGGCGCAGTAGAGGAAGAGGAAGGAGGCCACACACTGGAGGCTTAGAGCGTCCTTGAAGTCACTCACATAGAAAGGAGCTTTCCTCTTAATGTCCAGTATGAGGCCGCCGAACAACCTGGGAGCAGGTTGTTCATTCAGAGAGAAAACAAATACGTATGAAGATGGGAAATGTGTTGCCACTTTTTACAAACAAACTAAAGAAAGCAAGGTAAATAATCGACAGTCTTTTTCAAAAAGTACAGAATAGGGCACCATATGGCTCAGTGGTAGAGCAGATGCTGCAGATTTATAGGTTGTAGGTTGTGGTCCTTAACACAGCTGCTCTGGGTTCATTTCCTGCCCCCAGGCCTTTTACTGCATGTCTCTGCCCTTCTCCATGTCAAACTACTGATGAATAAAGGTCACTAGTGCCACAAAATCTTTAAGAAACATTTTTTGAAGAGCCAGTAGGTGACATTCGGCTTTGCGAATGCTTTGCAGATCGTGGCCACAAATGTCAATGTACTTCTTCTGTATGACTGATCTATATGAAGTGGTGCATAATTATCAAGCAGAAGGAAAATACAAAACCTTTTACAAAGTATGTGAAAAGTACTTTAAACCTCTTTATGGGCTTAAGGTTGTCCCATCTCATTTCCTCAGAAATTAATTTTTTGCCCAAAGCAGCAATTTAAAACGAGAAGCAGAATGCTAAAAGGTTTACACATTCAGTCAGAATTGTTCATATCAATCAAAATTTGAACCGAGCAACAAGTTTCTGCAACAACCCTGACTGGTCAGCTGCTTACCTTCCTGTCCTCTGCAGCTCTGGCCCGTGGTGTTCAGCATGTTGTGGTTCTTCTACCTGCATGGCTGTCCCGTTGGGGACTCCGGGCATTTTCCTCTTCTCCTGCAGGTCAGAAGCAAGCAAAAAAACAAGTTGCACATATTACATGAACAACTTTAAGTGCATCTCATGTGGTAAAAATCCAAGGCTGAAAAGTAAGATGAGTAACTGCATTACCTGAGAGGGGACATTCTTTGGGGGCTCTATTCGGATGGAGGGGTCCCACTCTCCTGGTGGCAGGACAGTCACTTGGTCTAGAAACTCGTCTATCCCTGCTAGCAGGTCGCTTCTGTCCTTTGCCTTGTACGCTACGTTGTGGAAGATCTGATCCAATGAGAAATTTAATAATTAAAGAAAAACATTGCGAGAAAATGTTCAGTTTTTCTATCATTGGTGGTTCAGAATCTGCAGTATTTTTGCAAAGGTATTCACACCTCTTTAACTTTTTCATTTTCTTTTGCAATGTATTGACACAAAGTAGTGCATTACAGTGATGACGGAAGAAAAATAATAATAATAATAAAAAAAACTGGCGTGCATTTATATTTACTCAGTTTTGGTATGATAACCAAAAATATAATCCGGTGCAAATCATTTCCTTAAGAGGAAAAAAAAGAAGGAAAAAAAAAGAAAAGAACAAAAGTTGTGATTACATTGCAAAAAAAGCTAAAAAGTTAAATAGAGTGAATAGCCCTGTAGATCTGAAAGGTCTCTCACCTCATCCGTCATAATGGTCGCCATCGAACGTCCAATTTCGTGGTACTGCTGAGCTTTTCCATCAGGGCCCAGAAGGATAAAGAGGAATCTGATTTGGATCAGGAGATAAACCATACTTCATAAACTCTCCCTTGAAAGCTGAATTAACATAAATTGCCAGCAGAGCCTGTGGCTGTCAACCTGGTGGGGATGGGAACCTCAGTGAGTCCAGTGAGCAGAACGGCGGGGGAAAGCCGAACAAACGCAACAATGGGCCTCTCCAGGAAGTCCAGAACGCCGACCAGCACATTTGAGGCCTCGGCGCCCTCTGGAATCTTCTTCATAAAGTGCAGGTCAACCTGTTGGAGGAAAAAGAGAAAACTACCAGAGTGAAGCACAGATTTGAAATATCCACCTTCTGCACTAGAGGTAAAAGGTGCAAACATATTTTGTAGCTCAATACAGTAATCTGTATTGAGATGAACATGTGAATATTCATAAATAACAAATCATATATTCTCCATTACTCATCCATATTAATGAAATGAATGAGAAATCCTTAGCCGGTCTGTTTACCTTACTGAGGTCCACTTGACTGCTGTCCTGCCCGGCACCGTTCTTGGCTGGTTCTGTCGGCAGAGGAGGCTGGGGAGACGTGGCAGACCCTAATGGATGGTAAGGTGTGGGTGTGCATTTATATGATTCACCGAAAACACAGCTGAATCAGAGAAAATATCATTCCAAGAACAAAGTGTGGAAAAAATCTCTAAAAGTTAGATTCCTCTGACAGAACTTTGCCAATTTCTTCATTCTTGGAAGCAATGAAGTACTGGAGGGTTACTGCTTGAAGAGGATTCTGTAGTGGCTTTCAAAAAGTATTCATTCTTTTAGATTAACACAAAGTTGTCGGGAAGTGCTGGTGCCTATCTCAAGAGGCAGGGTCACCCTGGACAGGTCACCAGTCAACCATACATACACACACCTCGGGAGAATTTAGAGAAACCAATTAACCTGACAGTCATGTGTTTGGACATGACTCCCACAAACTGTCCAAAAACAGTGGACAGTGTGTGAGAGGAAGCCGGAGTATCCAGAGAACATGCCAACTCCATGCAGAAGGACCCTGGGCTGGGAATCAAACCCAGGACCTTCTTACTGCACTACCAACTGCACCACTGTGCAGCCCCCCTTTTAATCCAATAGATGAAATCTAGTGTATCCAGTTGGCTTTAGAAGTTCCTTACAGACTGATAATTACAGTCCACCAGTTTGTAAGGAAGCCATAAAAAGTACCAATAAAAGGTTTGCCACAAGCTGGGCAAAACACTGCACGCCTCCCTGTACTCACTTCCATCAGCTCCCTGCTGTGGGAATGTTTTTCTTCAGTAGGAATCATGAAACTGGCAGGATTTAAGGGGATGGAGTTAAACACAAGACAGTCCTGGATGAAAACCTTTTAGAGAACGAAATGTAACAGACAAAGTCCAACCCTAAACCAAACCGAGAGTTGTGGCAAGGCTTAAAAATGGTTGTCCATACACACTCCACGCAGTGTGTGGTTGTAATGTGATCAGACGTGAAAACATTCAAGGGGTGTGAACACTTTTGCAAAACAATGTAACTTGTGTGTCTGTTGCTTTAGTCCTACAAAATTAAAACTGCTTCCCACTGATGAGTGTGTGATGAGTGTGTGATGCGCCGTACCTGCTACTTGAGGCTCAGACTGTTTGCGCGCTCCCTCGGTGATGGAGCGTACCATTGGAATCAGGTTTTTCTTCTTCTCGTTTTGGTGATGGTGTCTCTTCAGCAGAGCCTCACGCACCCTAACTCTAACGGTGTCATCCAGTTCGTGCGAGGCCTCCTGGTGATCCAGAACCATGTCTGCAACACAATTTTAGACTCACACTGGGCTTGAGGGCAAAAGCAGCTAGGACTTGATAAAATAATATCTATCTAGTTTGCTTAACATGACTGCTTTAGTCTCCTTGGAGAAGGTCTGACATCTTATTTTAGAGCCTGAAATCTTCACAATTAGTTTTGATCAAATCAAAACTTTTTGATTGTTTTCAAATCAAAAAGTTACTTTTAAAATGTCAATTTTTGACACAAAATGAGTTTTTTAATTGCACCCAGGGATCAAATATACAATTTCATATGGCTGACTATCTGCAATCTGTTAGGCACTCTCTAAACAACTGCATCTGATTATGACTGCAAACAGAGGATAGTTTTTTAAATAGCAGTTTGTCGAATGGAAAAGGATGCACTGAGCATTTCTTCTAAAATGATCATCTGTGCAGGAAATTCTAACAACTTGCAATGTTGTTGCTTAACTTTAAGTAACTGTGTCAGGTCAAAAACAGAAGAACAGAGCTAATCAAAATGCTTGGATTAGCATTTTGACAGAAACATTGTCAAAACCATATGTGGACTTAGTTTGTGCTTTTAAATCTCTGTGTGCAGTTCCGCTTGGTTAGTTCTCCAATTTACAGTCCTCACATTTCTCCTGTCTATTTTCTCCTTTCTTGACACATCACCACGGGTTCCAAACGTAAGAAGACCAAACTTCTCTCACTTTTACTGCATTTAGATATTTTTAAATCTTTACACATTCCTTGATTCCAGAAGTAATTATGAACTTTTAGGTCATAAACAAATGTAAAAGCTGAAAAAATATGAAATTGAACAAGAAATGTTGCAATAGTATAACTTCACTAATCTTTTTTCAATTTCTGTGTTACACCTGTGTTCTCATACATCTGTTTATCTGTGCTAAGAGCAGCCTATATGCTGCTTAAGCTGAATCAATGCTGCTGGCAGATGAGACAATATGGACCTGAAGAACAACAGCTTCTGCTGTGTCTCACTTGTCCTTCCAGACCGACTTGTTTAGTCAGCACAAGCCTGTGCATTAGCCTGCTTCCTTTCTTTACCCACAGCCACCAAGACACACAAATTTTTTCTGCAGTAAGTGAATTTATTCTGAGTACACTTTAAGATCAGCGATAATGAGCTGACCTCAGTGATACTTTATCAGCCTTGGTAATAAGGAGAACGACAAAAGAGCAACACAATAAAGCCTGCATGCAGTAAGCCCAGGAAGGTTTAAATGCTGCAGGGGCTGCAGGGTTATGTGTGTGTTGACTGAAACTGAAGCTAAAATGGCTTTATGTTTTGAAGAAGTCTGGTTTTTTTTTTGCTCTTTGTTTCTCCATTTCAATGTGTAACTTAAAGCATTATGATGAAAAGATAATAAAGACAACTCTTATCTGTTTAGAAATTAGATTAGAAAGCAAAATGAAGATAAATGCATGAATATTAAAAAAACTTAAGGTTTTACTTTTTATTCTTGAAGAACTTCAACTTGAAAATGCTTTTCTTAACGTGACAAGTTTCTTTCCTTTGTTGGAGTGAATAAAATCTAACATGAGAAACTTTAAGAAAAAACTAATTTCAGCAAGAAAAAGTTGCGAAAAAAAAGCTGTGTGTGTGTGGGTGTGGATGTGTGTGTGTGCATGTGTGTGTGTGTGTGTGTGTGTGTGTGGGGATGGGTCCCTACAGATACAAGCCTCTGTAGGGACCCATTACTGATATAGTATGCCTCCTTCCTCTGCCTTAAACTCAAGGCTTATGCCCTAACTGTGAATATGATAAATTATACTCATTTGTTTCTGCAGTTCATTTCTTCTTGTACACTGCAAGAGCCTTCTGCAGGCAGGGAGTGGGTGCAGGTTGTGGGTTTACAGGCACAGCAGAGAGAGACCAGCTAAACGCATGTTGTCCATTATCGCAGCGAAAACTCACTTTTTGCAATATCCATGATCATTTTTTATATCTTTTAGCATTCTGACGTTGAGATGCTGATTCACCTGTGGGAGGAAATTTCTCACCTGCTATCTCCTCAATGGAGTCGGCTCGCATGTCCAGCAGCACGCTGCCATTGATGATGCAGCTGCGCAGCTCGAATAAGCTGTGGAGGGAAAGTGTAGCAACGTAAGGCTTGCTCCACCTCTCTCCACCGTCCTCCACGTCCTCCTCAAACTTCAGCCACCTGCAACATCAAAACCAGCAGCAGATCAAGAGCTTTACCTCAAAAGAGTCCAGTTGAAATATTTCTACTTTAACTCTTGTATGATGTCAATATAAACAAACTGAACTGAATACTGGATTGAATCTGGATTAAAGAAAGAGAAGCTTTTGACTTTTACTTGATTTTCTTCAAAGAAAAACCGGACAATGAAACCAAAAACTCCAAAATTAATATCTCGATATGCAGGTGTTTGAATCTGGGGTATCATTTGTTTTTCTGTTTTGATAATTTCTTAGCTCTTGCCATTTTAGTTTATTCATTTGTTTGTCATTTTATTCGTCTGTCTTGCTTCTTTGTGCTTCAGATTGTAGTTTCTCACATTATTCCTTCCTCCTGTGTTTCTTCTCTGTTAACCTTTCTCCTTCCCTGTTGTCAGCCTGCTTCTCAGCACACCTGCTGCCCAGGTCCTCTTCCCCACGTCTCTCTGATTAGCTCCTCTGGTTCCCCTGTCATCAGTGTTTATATAACATTTCAGTGTTATTGTTCTCCACTGGCTCTTTCTGTTATTCTTTGTGAAACCTCCATTATTTATGTCTTTTCTCCATGTCTTGACTCTTTCTGCTGTTTCCTGCTGTAAATCATCCATTGTTTATGACCTATTTAAACATTCTGCTTGAAAAGCTTCTCTGCACCTGGGATCTCCTTAAAACACATAATGGCCAGTAGAGCGTTGAACATTTTTCCCACATTGCTAAAATCATTTGACTGGATTATGACACATTTAGATTCAGGAGGCTTTTTCCTAAGTTCAAAGTTTGATCAGTGCAGATTAGCTTATTACCAGCAGAAAACTGTAAGGAGAGGTTACTTTCACTCTCCCATTTTCAATACTGCATCAGATTTACACAGTTATTTTAGAGGCTTGAAGGCTTGACATTAATTAGCATGTAAATCCGAAATTCTGTTCCTTTTGAAAGTTTTAGTGTAACTCATCTTCTCACCTAGAGCAATAAATGATTCCCTGAGCTGTAAATGTAATAACCAGCTGTACATGTACAGATCCCGTTCTGCCAGCCCTGCAGTGAGACACTTTATTACAGGCTCTGCTTTCAGCTTCTCCCAGCGGAGACTTCCTGACCTGGCCGTTTCTTTCCACTCGGCATCTTTGCCATCCTTCACACAGATCTCATCCAGCTCGGTGAACAGCTCATGGGACACGTGTTCGGCATCCTCCTCTGTGCCCAGGATGAACTGGACCCGCTGGGACGGTGTGTCTAATGGAGGGAAAGAATATGAGCGAGGGAAGAAAGAGAGAACAGTCTCCTACATGTGTCATGCCTTTAGATGGCAGCACATTCACAAAAGACTCTGCACAGAAATCCAATCCTGTTCCTAATTTAGGTCATTAGTGGCCTGCCAATTGTTGCCTGAAGTGCAGTGGTCATACAAACATGTGATGAAAATCAGCAGCATTGATCTCAGTGGGAGGAGCCTGTGCATACATGCATACGTGTGACGGTACGAGTCATACAAAACAGTAAAAAGGTTCAAAGATCTTTATATTGATGGAGTGCGTGCGGTGGGGTGTGTTACCATGACTGCTGCCAGCTGCCTCACTGTCCTCGCTCTGTTGTGTCGTGATGCTTCCTGCCCTTTTATCTTTCTTGCGGTGGCGGGATCCGTGGGGTTTGTGGTGCCGATGGCTCTGCCTCGGCATCCGAACCCCCACAAACAGAGTCCTGTGTCCTAAAGGCAGCGGTGAAGATTTTATTAACGTTTACTAAGAGATTTTTCCCTGCTACTGTTAGGAATTAAACACGGCTTCTGTAAATTGACGGATTGACCTGATTGATGGCGAGGAGGCCATCAATCAGGTGGGAGAAGTTGTTCACAGATGTGTGAAGCTCTCCATACATTTGACCTTTATGGGCAAATGACAAGAAGAAAGCTACATAAAGTTTCTTCAGTGCAGACAGGAAGGCCGGTCAGTTTTTGGGCCGTCAAACAAACGAGTTAAATACAGGACACCTCTTAAAAAAAGAGATATAGGCTGCAAAAAGTTTGGGACTGACTCCATGGTTTTATCTTTGCCTAACTCAACAGAATTAGAAAAAAAAAATAGCCCTTTGGTTTTTATGTTCCCTTTTTTTTTCACATTACTGGCATTAGTAGATGCTGCAGCTGATACTAATCTTCCACAACTGGTATCAAAGGAAGAGTTTTGAGATGAAGTTTTTTCCTTTTCCAGCTCAAATTACAAAGTTTGTCTTTATAAGTGAGACTTTTTAGCCATTTTTAGAAGTGCATGTGACATTCTGTTTCCCACTGTGTTTAAATTCAACAATTTATATGCTTGTAAAAATTAAGGTGCAGATATTAGAAGATATTGGAAAACTATCTATTTTTTCACCTTTCAAAATTCCAACAAAATCATTTGTGGTTGCGCTGTGACGACTGATTTGGACAGCATGCAATTGGTTATACAATGGACCCATTTTGTACAAGTCTAGTTATTGTGAATGAGCATCATGTAAATAAAGCTAAACAGAGCTGAATGGAGCTGAACAAGAGAGAAAACAGGGATCTAAACAAGGCAAGAGGAGGATGAGTGGAATCAAAAGCTGCATGTGTGAGTCAGCTTTATTTGGACTCGCTAGATTAGAGATGTGGCTGAGTCCACAAATTAATTTAACAAGATGTAATCAAACTGCAGCCCAAATATCTCTGCTGTTAGTTTTACATTAAGGATTTTAGCTTAACCACACTTGTTTAAATGAGCTCTTGGTAGTTGATTTCTCTAAATGGGTGTTCAAAAACACAAAACAAAAAAACCCAACAGACCAGAGCAGGACTGGATACAGAGAGGGAACAGATTAGAAGAACATTGTAAAACACAGTCACTCCCACATCTATGTTTCGACCTGAAGCTCCACAGAGAAAGGAGATCCTCCTCAAACATCCTGCTGTTTCCATTCATGCATTACTCTCAGCAATCCACTGTCATTTTTATCAGTGGATTTCATTTTGGATGCAACTTGCTGCAACATCAAGCTGAATGTGACACTTAGTTTCATTACAGCATTAAGGAAAATTTCTAAAAACAGAAATATTAGGAAAATTACTACTTAATTTTTTTCATTATACATTTTCTTTTATCGGTTTAATAATTACTATTATGGAAAACTGTGATAATTTAATAATACAAATATGTATTTATATAAAGCAATTTTTATAGCTTTTATACTACACTTTAAGATCTGATTTCCATACTAATCACCCTCATCCAAATTCAAAAAACGCATTGGAAACTAGTCGTGAACAAAAGAGCATGAAAGCTGTGGATTTGATCATTTTAATCCGCTGAAAATAGTCAAATTTACTGATTTGTAAGCATAAAAACACACTGGAATACTAACTTTCTTATTAAAAAGCACATACAGGCCATATATAAATACTGTATATAAAAACAGCATTTATATACTGTCTTTCCAACAGACCTGCATCTCATGATCAAGAAATATGGAAATATGTTTAAAAATCAGACATTTTAATTTAAATGTTGTGAACTGGGTTGTTTACTTTTTCTTATGTGCGTGGTGCCTTAAAAGAAGAATATTGCTGTTCTTCTCATTTTGATACTTATGTGATATAAAACAATTTTGCGGTTATGTGCAAACATAAGCATTACTAATAAACAAACTGGGCCTGATTGGGTTGTGGGCTGAGGTGGCAGACAGTTCTGGCTTGAGTCTGGCTTGAGGAAACAAGGATCAGAAATCCTCCCTTCTGTTCTAAATTATGCAAAATTACACATTATCTCTGTGTAACACAAAGCATGGAGTGGTTCTGTATTCCTCTAGAAAGGGAAAACTATTTTCTTCTCTGGACAAATTCATTTGTTTTCCCAGACATGAAAATGCCTGTATATGGTATCTTTATTTACAGAATAATCTGCCAGATGGACCACAAAGAAAACCCAATGTAGGTCTCCAGGAAGAAATAACCACCAGACATTTGAGACCAATGCAATTTTCCAAATGTAATTAGTTCTCACCTTCCAGCTCCTCTTTCTCATAGTGAATGTTCATCACTGAGCTGGTTCCTCCCTGGTCCACCACCACTTCCTCATCAGGTCTCTGACAGACACACACAGAACAGAACGCAGACATCATGAAGTCAAAGTTCATATTTGTTCTTTCTGGAACAGACAACACATTGCTTTGCTGCAGAATAACATCAAGTGGATATTATTATAGCTTCGAAAGAGTTAAAAAGCTTTGAAAGGTGCCCTAAAAGTTTGAAACAGATTGGATGTTTTGATCCGAACTGTTCCCTTGCAGCTTGTTTAGGTTTGTTGTTCTGCTGGAAGATCCACTTTAGTTTAAAACTTTTGCTGGCTCTAACATGATTTTTTCACTTAATTAGATCATCTCAGAAGTCGACTGGCTTTCACAGAATTTTATTCAGAGTGAAGGGGACTGAATATGAATGACTGCACTTTTTAAAACAATGCATCACTTACCTTCCACTTATCAATCATGTGTTTGCGATTGTGGACGTCATTGTCCAGACGTTTCCTGACACGAGTTTTTACAAAAACCTCTGAAGTAGAAGAATCATTTCCAGACTCTCTGCGCTCTGTGTGTCTTGTGGATACATATTAAAGGTCTTGCAGTAATTAGCAACAAACTACAGACAAATAGATGTCATTTGTAACAACAGGACGAGTCATTTGGAAAATGGACAGGGCTCTGCTGTCCAGGCCCAAACAAATCAAATTACCAGAGCGCCACATCAATCAGCTGGACTGCTGTTAGCAAAGTGCTGCAGGATGCTACTGCAGATGGTTTAACTATGGTGACAAGGATTTCTCAGAAATGCTGCAGTCTGCTCTGCTCAGTCTGCTGGAGTCCCCGCTTAACGTCACAGCTCTTATGACAATCATAGTAGGATGATATTAAACTTTATAGTGCCTGTGGAGTTGCTGTGTGACTGTGGTGACTCTGCACTGCCTTCATGTATGATGTTCAAAAGAGTCAATATGTAAGCCAAATGTTTATAATGGTTAGAGTTATTAGTAGAGTCAATAGGTACCAAGAAAAACAGGAGAAAGTAGACCTACATGTTAAAAAAATATAAATATAAGCAATGTCTTTCAGTTCAGCTGATAATTCACTTAATGCTTAAAAATGGTAAGCTGCTCAGTTTACTGAGAGCAAATTTTAGCCTGCAGCTTTTAAATCAGAGTTGTGCTTTGCAGCTGGTCTGAGGTTTATCTTTTAAAACAGACTCCTGTGGTCTTTGCTTTCTCCATTTTTCACACATCATGCCCTGAAATCTCACCTTTGACAACACATTTATGATGACATTTGTTCTGATGTCTCCCTAAGAAGCAAACCATTCTCACAGTGTTTTATCTTTATATGTCAACTTATCCGAATACTCATGCTCTTTGAATGAGGTTTTACTGAACAAATCAAGAAATGCAACATCCATACACATTCACTGAAATAAACCGTGGTTGTTTACATACTTTTTTTTCTATCTCTTCTCCTTTGTTGTAACATACAGTTTTATAAACAAGGGACAAGTCAGTTGTCTACATCATTCTGCACAATAATTGCTACACTGGTAAAGATACAAGCTCCTTCAGATCCACATATTCATCATGCACAGATGCCACCATGTGCTGCAGTTACTAGACACAGTTTCAGATATTTGCTCTGAATGTAGAAATGGTCAGGTTTAAGAGACAAGTTAGCAATGTTTTCATTTTGAGACTGCTTTATATGGATGACCAAAACTGACATAATAAAAAATAAAAACATAAATATATATTTTGTTTTCCTTGTCCTTACACATGTGCTGTCAAAAAATTTAAATATTTTGTTATTCCTTTCCTTTATACATGCACCGTCATAAGAAATATATATACATTTTTCTTTTCTTTACGCATGTATTTTCATCAAGAAATTGACATATATTAATTTGCATTTTCCCTAAGCCTAGGCTGCACAGTGGTGCAGTTGGTAGCACTGTTGCCTTGCAGCAAGGAGATCCTGGGTTCAATTCCCAGGCCAGGGTTTTTCTGCACAGAGTTTGCATGTTCTCCCTGTACATGGTGGGTTCTCTCTGGGTTCTCCGGCTTCCTCCCACAGTCCAAAAACATGAATGTCAGGTTAATTGGTCTTTCCAAATTCTCCCTAGGTGTGAATGGCTGTTTGTCTTGTTTGTTTCTGTGTTGCCCTGGAGCAGTTTATCAGTGAGCTGCAGCTCTCAGCTCAGCAACGTTTTAGAAAATAATTTGGTATTTTACCTGTGGACCCTCTCTGCAGAAAGTATGTTTCAGTTAGTGGCTCTCAAGTATATGAATCTGTGTTTGTGATTGTGTGAGTCCAGCTGTAGTGTAAAGTGTTTGATTGACTAAAAAAACACAAAGTTTTGTCTTTTTCAAAAAAATATATAATCGACATGAAAACATTAAAGGAAATACAGTGTTAAAGAATTTGCCTCTAAGTGTATATGAATTCACAGAAGGAACAAACTGACTTTTAGGGTTAAGACTTTGTTTTAAGATTTTGTAAAAGTGCTGGGTACTGTCTCTAAATACAACAATTTTTGATTTTGCTTTTGGACATCACCCTCTATCAGGAGGACATAATGTTAGTAAAATTTTCAAATCCAGCTTCATGGTCCGCATAGCTCCACCTAATTTGCAGGCTTGTTCCATCTGGAGCTGCTTTCGCGCTTTCTTTCTCACTCACAAAGCACCATATAAGTGCATTGGGATTTCATTTTCTTTCCATGACTGAGCACTTCATTATCCCAAGAGAGTTCTGCCGTTTAAAGAATAAAGCTTCTTAATTAGAAAGGCAAACTTCAGCCAAACACTGAATCTGATTTGTGATTCTATGCAGAAGAGGAAAGTCTGGCAGCAGAAAAAGAGAGTATTTCCAATTCTACACAATGTAATAAATTTGAACAAACTCTACTGCTACGTATTTATGCGTCAGAACAACAGGCTGCAGTTAATGCTAAATGGAGATGGCACCACACAAACACTCTTTCTTAATAGAGTTAAAGTCTTTTTGAAAGTAGTGCACTAAAGTAGTTATTTGAGTTTTCACAGGATCTGTATTATCTGTAATGTTTTAAATTTAGCTTTTGTCTGTTTTAGTGATTATTGGATATTACTCCTATTGTTTTTGGTTTATGTTGCCGTAGGCTCAGACTGCAAGACGGGATTAGTGATTCATTGAGATTAAACACTGTTTGCAATAACTGGCAATGAGTCATTTGCATCATGGCAGAGGAATTTTGGTCCAGTCTAATCAGGAAAATGTCTTTATTTCGGCTCAGTTGGAAGGTGTTTGAGCATGGACGGCTTTCTCCTTTAATGTTTCCTGCAAGAGAGCAGAATTCGCAGTTCCATTATTTGTGGCAAGTTGTTCAGGTTTTAAGCAGAAAGTAGTCCCAGACAATCACCATGTTTGACTGAGTGAACCATCTGCAGAGCACAGCCGGAGAGCAGGCAATGCATTTATTAGCCCACTGCATTGATTCTTGATGTTTTATGTTGCTTTTAGATGAGTTATGCCTTTAACCGCCATTTTACCTTGAGGTCACTTTCTTCATTGCTCAGCCTTATTGAACTCACCATAATTAATTTAGACAGGAATTCATCTGTCACTCAAGTGTCACAGTGTAAGAAGTCTTTGATAACTGAAATGTCACAAGTAATGTCTTGCAATAATTATTTTTGCTTTACATTTTAGCTACATAAACAGTTATGTTTAATTCTAAATCAGTAAAAGCATCACATTCTGATTTCGAGCAGTTTTACCAACCAGTCAGATCTCTCTGTAAAGCTCGGTGGTGTTATCAGTGTCTGCAGCTGTGCTGGGCTCCTGCATATTGTTTTCAAATCAAGCTTGAGGCATCAGAATTAGAGCTTTACCAAGTTACACTGATGCTCTGCAGGAGGGAGCAGATAAAAAAAGCAACTCTAAAAGCTTTCTGTCCCAGAATGGGTGGCGGAGTATCGCATTTGATCAATTTGGATCGATTTTCTCTAAATAAAGGGAAGAAAGAAATGGGGGATGAAGAAGGCTAAAACTTAGTGTAACTATTAGGTATTGTAAAAGAAAAAAAGACTGTCAATAAAATGTAATTCTTTATGCCATTATCTAATTGTGTGGTCCATTTATCCATTCATTCGTCAATGTCAAGCTGGTTTTGGACTGACAAGATAAAAATAGTTAATAAAGGAGAGGACTTGGGTCACTTTAAAGTAAATAAATGTGGAATTTTAAAATGACAAATAGGAGCGCTGGTGGATGTTTCACTTTTTCTTACATATTAGTTATGAGGTCCGCAGTTATACGAGTCACAGTTCAGTAACACCTTCTTAACGACGAGTTCATGCAAGTGAGTGTTTTTTTTTTTTAGCAGGTTAATGTTTCCCTGTCATTAACATCTCACTTTCCCTTGTGTCACATTAAGTATTTTAGCTAATTAGAAGCTCACGATGCACTTCGAAGGTTTTGTTTGTCTCTGCTGCTGAACACATCTGTGACCCTCAAAGCATAAACGCTCGCAGGGAAAATAATCGCGTCGCCACCAGATTCTATCACCTGGCAACCATCCTTTTTTCTTCCCTCTTGTCCTTAGCTGGGTATCAGCAGCAGCTTTTGGATGTGGTTTATGACTCATGCAGATTAGCGCCTCCGTGCCACAGAACTCACACTGAGCTGGACCCAAAATGGCTGCATGCCCTTGAGGTTCTGCCCTTTATGGGTATACTAGAGCCAGCAGGGGCACATACACACAGGGGAGGCCTTGTTACCACAGAAAATCATCTGATACAGGGATGAATTGAAGACAAACTGATGTGGATTCAAAGAGTTTAAATTTAGGAAAGCTGCATTCTCAAGAAAGGCATTCTGCTCCAGCTATTTTTACCAGAATATCACATGCTGATTTTAATAATTATTATTTGAAGATGATTTAACTTTCATTGGTTTGAATTTAGCTAAATGAAAGTTTGCTCAACACAAACATTTGAACAATTGTAAGAAAGTCATGAAAGAAATTAGTTTAAAAAGAAAAAAAGGTGATTGATGCTTTTCTGTTTGAT